AATTTATGAAGCGCAGTGCAGCACCAGAAATGTGCTTCCGAATACTGAACGTAAGTGGCTTCACTGAAATAATCACACCAAGCACAAATCAATAAGTGCATATGAAGTGCATCTCTGTTATTTGATTATCCTCTCTATTACTCAGTTTTCAGTTCAAACCAACATCTAATTTGTTATATTTTGTGTTGCAGCGAAGGGGATTTTTCTAGTGCATGTGAGATTTCTGACTCTTGGTTAACTAGTTAATTTTTCACGATTTTTCACGATTTTTCTAATTTGTTTGTACTTGTGTAGATCATGATCTTATTCGACAACATGCAATTTTGGCTGAGCATGCTGCTGTGTCTTCTGCCACTCATCAATGCCCATATATCGCCTATGTTGGAATTCATCCATCATCCTCAAATTCCAGTGGCGGTGTCTCTGATGGTCCTACTTTTAACAATCACTGGAGCAGTCCTTCAATTCCACATGAAGTTCCTACTTATGCTTTCCCAGGTGTGGATGTCCACTATCACAGTTGGGATCACCATTCATCTGCTTTCCCTACAACAAGCAGCCGAATTGGTAATGCTGATCAGCCCTCAATTCCGCCTGTTCCTCATAGAGCTGCTCGAACAAACTCTGATATACCAAGACAAGGATCTTTTGTCCACCCTTTCCTTGTCAGTCACGGGTATGATTTCTTTTTGTCTGGACGAGACTGTACTTTGTTCTTAGTTCTGTTTTTTTTTTCTTGGGGTTTCATATAATGAATTTTTACTACCCTTATGGGCTGTTTGGTTCACGGAATAAGCCTGGAATGGCATAGCATTCCCAGTAATAGGCCTATTCCTCTGTTTGGTAACCACTTGTATTCCCAGGAACATTGTTCCCGGGAATGACCTATTCCCCTTGCAAGGGGAATAGAGATTCCTGGGGGGGCCCCTATTCCTAATGTATAGGGAAGGGGTAAAAAAGAGCTTCTAAATTTTAAAATTAGCTTTTTACTGTGACTATTTTCAGCAGTGTTTCTGAAATTGATTTTGCATGTAATTACAGTTCTGGTGCTAGAGCAGGAAGTTCAGTTGCATCATCGATGATTCCTCCCTATCCTGGAAGTGTGGCTCGGGCCCGCGACCGTGTTCAGGCTCTTCAAGCTTATTTTCAACAGCCAAGCAATTCACCTGGTGTTCGTGCCCCAGTAATAGTTGGAACACGGAGATCCAGTAATCACCGGGGCATGGCTCAAGTGAGTCCAATGGCCTCATCCTCTGATCAGGCTGGTGGCTTTTACTTCTATCCCTCTGCTTCATCTGGAAGAGCCTTTCAAGAAGCAGAAAATCCCATGTCCAATCGGTTCCCTATTTGGGAGCGAGAACACATGGCTGCAGCCTCCTCCTTGAACCAGGTTGATCGAGATCCAATTTGGGGGTCGTTTCACCATGGAGCTGGTGGGTCTGATCCGGGAATCAGATTCAGCAGCTTTCGCCAGAGGCAGCATGGATCTGAGAGGATGCCATCTCAACATCGGTCATAGGTTTGTTTGTAGTGTTATGATGAGACTATGACTGAACCCACCCAATTTATGTGTGTTTGAGATCGAAAACAATCTGTTAAGGTTGGAGTCTGTCAAAGTGGACAGGTTCAGAACTGTTGTGTGGCCCTGAAATGAGACTCTTTATGTAGTGGCCACATGCATGGTTGTGTGATAGACAGTGGCTGGCTTCATGCCCTGCTCTCATCTGAGGTTTAAAATAACCATCATCTGCTTTCATGCTCAACTATTGCCTTTGCATTCCTTGCTTGTATGCTATTGGGATTAGGGTTAGTTAATTCAATTTCTAAAACAAACAATTTTAGAATCACATTTGGTTCAAAATAGCAGTGAGGGGATTCATCACTTTTTTTTTTTTTTTCTTTTTTTTTTTCTTTATTTTTTTTTAATTTTTATTTGGGTGACAAGGGAATTTTGCAATTACTACTTGACACATGAGAGATAAATTGTATTAGGAAAACTTTGTAGTCAGTTAAAAAAAATATCAATCCATAATTATCAATATTTTTGGATAGATTTAAATTTTAAAATTATATATATATATATATATATATATATATATATATATATATATATATATATATATATATATATATTGCAAGTATGGAGATGCTCCCAAGTGAAAGATGGGGTGAGATCTGTGTCGTTGATCAAATCTAGATCAACGGCGGCTTAAATCAATGAATTTTTTTTAAAGGCCCGTCCTCAGTTAAAGAAGTGAAGTGTAAAAAGATGGCGCACCTTATGCGTTACAAATACGCATTTTAAGAAGGAAAACATGCACATAAAGTTTTGGGCTGACGTACTTTAAGTTTCAACAACTGACGCACCTTAAGCACATAAACCGCGCAATTTATAAAGGTAAACTACGCACTTTAAGAAGGAAAATAACGCACTTAAAATTTTAGATTGACGCAAGTTTTCAACAAAAACGCATCCTAAAATCGTCTGAAAAAAGACCCCCTCAAATCGGGTCAAGTTATCCTTGTTCAAGTTGATTCTGTAGTAGATAGATCCTGTGATATAATACCAAGTTGATTCTGTATTAGATAGATCCGGTGATATAACACCAAGTTGATTCTGTAGTACATAGATCGGGTGATATAACACAAGGTCCCGCAAGGAAAAACAACTGGCAACGAAAGAAAACACCCACTATGGGGCTCGAACCAATCATTATTGTGTGGACCATATTTTGTCTACTGTAAAATAATGTACATTCAGTACAAAAATAATGTACATTTAGTACAAAAGTAATGTACATTGTATTCGGGGAATGTACATTATTTTTGTTCTGAGTGTACATTATATTGTATAATATACATTCAGTACAAAAATAATGTACATTTAGCATATTAAAAATGTACTTTTTATTATGGTCCGCACAATAATTTGCTAGCTCGAACCCACTACCACAAAGTTAAAAAAACTATAATTTACCAACTGAGCTAGACAGGCTTGCTAGTAATGGACCACAAATACTATAGCCTTGTTTGGCAATCAACGGTTAGCGATTAACGGATAAAGAATAACGGATTGTAAAATGATGTTTGGTAAAATTAGTTGTTTAATGTTAGCAGTTAATTGGTAAAAGACACAAAAGGACATTCTTAATAATAATAATAATAATAATAATAATAATAATAATAATAATAATAATAATAATAATAATTTTTTTTTTTTAAAGGAAAGTGATGTAGGATCAAATCTGATCCCACATTAAAAACAAATAAAAAAGAGGGCGTTAAGCTCCCTCGTCAAAAGGGGAGCTCAACGCCCCCTTTTGCTCCCCAACCCATTCGATTCTCACATCCAATGGGCAGGGAAATAGAAGCCTCATGCTTCATTATTAATGAAGCCTGAGCTTCTCATTTGGATATTGATTTTTTATTTTTAAATTAAAGTAAAGTAATAAGGGCATTTTGGGCAAATGTCCAAAACGTTAAAGTGAAACGCTGCATTACGTTAAAGTGAAACGTTGCTAAATGTAGCGTTTCAAAAATCAGCGATTTGAAACAATTCTCTGCTCTAAATTGCTGTTAATCAAACAATGACTTTAGCGTTTTGATCTTGGTCAAAATGTCAAAGTTGGTGGATCCGCCAATAACCAAACAAGCATAAATAGTCTATAATCATAGACAAGTTACACTGATCTCCCTTTTAAAAAGGTTAGTGGAAAACCCATTATGTGTTTGGGGGCGCGTATGACACATTATACGTGTACTGGATGTACATTATATAAAATAATGTACTTTTGGTACTCAAATAATGTATTTTTCTGGAATACAATGTATATTTTTAATATATTAAAAGTATATTACCAAGACTATGTGGTCCAATGGTACCCAGGTTGGACTTCCACTTGGAAGGTTGTGTGTTCAAGCCTTAGTGGAGGCGTTATTAGCTTTTTGTGTCTCAGTAGGTTGAGAAAGTATATGAACAGATACTACAATGTAATAGAGCTAGTAGCATTCAAAAAAAAAATATTAAAAGTACATTATTTGAAAGTATGGTCCACACAGCTATATGGACCAGACAAATTATATCATGCACCGAGCTTCAAAACGACGTCGTTTTGCTTAATGAAAAGAAACGGAACCTGTTTCGCGTTGTTCCGCGCCGTTCCACAAAAAGTAACTCTGTTATTCAGTTTCATTTTGTATACACTGCAATTTCAGTTCAACACAACTACAATTTTATTTCGATATAATTACAGTTTCATTCGATATTTATACACTAAAATATGTGAAAATGTTATTTAGTTTTATTTTATATACACTATAGTTTCATTAAAACACAACTACATGATCGTTTCGATATAACTACAGTTTGATTGCACAATATACACTCAAATATGTGAAATGTTATTCAGTTTCATTTTATATACACTGCAGTTTCATTTCAACACAACTACAGTATCATTTTAATATAACTACCGTTTCGCTGGGTAATATACACCAAATATGTGAAATTGTTATTCAGTTTCATTTTGTATACACTGCAGTTTTGTTTCAGCACAACTACATTTTCATTTCATTTCAATTGCAGTTTACTAGATAATATAAAAATAATACGTGAGGCATTGTCAGTTTAGATACACTGTAGTTTCATTTGGTAATTAATACATCAAACATGCACGTTCCGTTAACTATAACGGCGCGTCATTTCTTTAATTAAAAAAAGACACCATTTTTTACCACAGTACACGTATATCACGATCCACGATATAACGACTATATGAACCATGGTCGACGATATAACGATATTGCAATAGGGACCTTAGTCCATAGTCTAAGTTTCCTGGGCTGGTAAAGCCTTTAGATGGGCCGAAAATAAAGCGAAATATAAACGGGACCCGATGATTATGTTATACCAGGCAGGCCGACCCAATACTCACATAACCCGAAACTCAAACGGGTCACGCCAAAAAAATCAACCCATCGCTATATAAATCTCAGACAAAACCCTAGCGCCATCTCCTTCTCATATCCTAATATACTCCTTTCAGCCGCTCAGGAAACCTAAGCAGAGAAGAATGAGCAAAGGAAGCAGCGGAGGTGGGGCCCTCAAGGGAGGGAAGAAGAAGGGGGCGACGTTTGTGATCGACTGCTCGAAACCTGTGGACGATAAGATTATGGACATTGCCTCACTGGAGAAGTTCCTCCAGGAGCGCATTAAGGTCGGCGGCAAGGCCGGAGCCCTCGGCGACTCCGTCACCGTCACCCGTGACAAGACCAAGATCACCGTCACTTCCGACTCCAACTTCTCCAAACGGTATTTGTATAAGCTCTTTTCTTGCTTTTAATTTATTTTATTAGATTGTTTAATGTGAGTTTACTGGATTTGTACTTGGATTAGGTATCTTTTGATGCTAAATATGTGCTACCTTCACATGTTTGTTTAATTGTTTTTTTTTTTTTTTTTTTTTTTTTTTTTTTTTTTTTTTTGGCACTATTGGTGATTGTATGGCATATGAAATGTGTATAATCCGATACTAGATTTATGCAATTCAATTGCTGCATCAGTAATTTGTATATGAATACCTTGTGAAGTAACAAAATACAGATCAATTCCGTTGTTTGCTCCAAATTAGCTTAGACAATGTGTAATCTTGTATGGTTAAATATTTTGATGAAAATGAAATAAAGATCAGTTTCGTTATTTGCTCCAAATTTGCTTAGACAATGTGTAATCTTATATGCTTATTTTGATGAAAATGCTTTTGACGTCGTCTCTTATGCATGCATAGAAGTTGTAGGTATGTCTGAATAGTGTGTTTATCAAAGTTAATTGTAGAAACAGTTGTGTTTGTAATTGAGTTTGGTCCAACCAAGGTAAGATGTATGAATTGCATTTCCTATTTTGTTAATCAACTAGCTGTTATGGTTTATGCAATTTCAGATGTGCATAACAAGAGGCTAGAAATGGGTAAAATAGTTATATTTTCATTATAATTCATATATGAATAATCTACTGAATTATCATTTCTAAGTGAAATATCCAAACAGCTGTGCTTATGGCTTTATGGCCTTATGGGCAGACCAAGTCCAACAACTTGAACAACTATACTAAATTTTGGAAAGTTTGGAAACTGTATTTACTGATGTAAAGATATATAGATGCTAGGGGCGGGCCTGTTTAGTCCAGGAGCCTTGTTTAGTTTTCTAGCTGCCTATTAACATTTTTTTTTTCAATGAACAGGTTTTATGTGTTTGTTAGATATGGAAAAAACATTACTTTCTTTCCATATGGCTGCAACTTTAGATTGGTCTTGCCTTAGGTGTATGGTCTTTGAAATGTAAAGATAATGTGTTCGTTTTCCAACTTTGTACGGCTTTATACTAATGCACAAATACTTGGTTATCCTGTTGCCTTACAAAAATTTCAATATGAACATTTTCTGGTTTTAATTCTTTATGTTGTTTCCATTACTTCCATTGTGCGCGTAATGACAACCTGCTGCTTTGGTCCAGATATTTGAAATACTTGACAAAGAAGTATCTAAAGAAGAACAATGTCCGTGACTGGCTCCGCGTCATTTCTTCAAACAAGGATAGAAGTGTCTACGAATTGAGGTACTTCAACATTGCTGAAAATGATGCCGAGGATGAAGATTAAGCGGGGGTGAATACGTCCTTTTCGCCATGTCTTGGATTTGCAGTGTGTTGCTCTTGTCGTTATATACCCTGTTTTGAATGGCTTTTGCAATTTTTACTTTGTGAACCTGTAAAATGAGATTTGCAATTTTGGAGTTAGTTTGACCTCATTTATACTACTATTAGCATTTGATACTTATCCTCTAATCAAATTTCGTTTTATTTTTAATTAGTCAGCCTGTTCTTAAGTGCAGTTGGAGTTGCACTTGATTTTATCTCTCATAGACAGACAGACATTAAAATGTTTCAAGACTTCACGAACAAATTCAGTCTCCGATAAAAAGTACCCTCGTCTCTAATCCATCCATTTGGATAAATCAATGAGATAAACTGCGCCTCTTCTTTTATAGATCTACTGATTGGTTGGGATACACCTAAGATTTTTGGGGATGTTGCGTTATAGGAAAAGTAATATTTACCGTTTACCAAGCTTGCTAATTTGACAGCAACTCTTATGTAAAATTTTGGCACCGGTGTATGACCATAGTGGCATTGTGAAAAGACTTTTTGATGCAATGTGTCTTTAATTTTTGTACTATATAGTTTTCATTTTAATAATTTTTACTATGTAGCTTTGATTTGACACTACGACAGTAGTTTTTAATAAGACGCGTTTGGGTTTGGGGTTGGCTTTTTAGTTATTAGATCACTTATTTGCATTCAAGTAATACTTCACGTGGAAATCTTTAGTACAATCATGTTAGGGCATCACCAATAGCAGATTTTGAAAGTTTTTTACATGTTTGTTTGTTTGTTTGTTTTTTTTTTTTTTTTTTTTTTTTTTTTAAAGTAATGCATCTAAGGTGCAGGTGAGAGAATGATGGAAGAGAAAAAACAAACAACCTTCCGCAAGTCATGGAGTTTTTTTCCAGAGAAGTGGGTCTTATTGTATTTTCAAAAAGGCCTCGCGTGAAGAGCAACCATGTGCCCAACTTGGCAGTGCACGCGGTTGCTGGGCAATCGTTATATCCTTACACCATGGCGCACATAGTACTGTGCGTCGCGCGCCTCTCAAAACGACATCGTTTTGGGGTTGTGTTGGGAGGCGCGGTAGGAAGTTGCTGAGATTATGTGTATTTGTTCACAACGTTATGTGTATTTATTCACAACGTTATGTGTATTGGTTCATACAGTTATGTGTATTTTTATACAATTATGTACATCCGAATCAGAAAATTTGTGTGTATTATGTTAAGAGTTGATGTGTATTATGTTAAAAGTTTATGTTTATTATGTATTATGTTAGATTATGTGTATTATCTTTTAAAAAGAGTATGTATATTTTGTTATATAATTATGTACATTCATGTATAACATTATGTGTATTCTAGTATAACATTATGTACATTCTTGAACAGCGGGTTTTTTTTAAAGAAAAAACTACTGCCATTCACTGGGGCGGGAAATTTCAAAAAAAAAAAAATAATAATTAAAACGGCGTCGTTTTGCATCTGGGCGCATAGTGCAACGCGCGCCGTGGTGTAGGATATAAATTGCCGTTGCTGGTCGCATTAATTTTCTTCCCATGCTTCTTTTTTGTTTTGTTTTGTTTTTGTTTTTGTTTTTTTTTTTTGTTTTTTTTTTAAATTTCAGTATTGTTTTTTTTCTTCTTTCTCATTTTCTATTTCATAATCTCACCTGCAAAATTTTCTCAAAAACCACACAAAAAAAAAACCCGTTATTGAGGAAGCCCTTAGATTTTTTTTTCACCAATAAAAATATTTTAACTATTTAACTTTTTAAATTTAATCGGCCGATTCGGCCCTTTTAGCTTATAGTAATATAAGGAGGGATTCATGCAATTCTGTAAATGAGTTATTCTTTTTGCAAGTGAAGTATCTCTTTTGAAGGTGGCATTATATAGACTATTGCATTTTTATTCCTTAAATTAATCAAATATTGTAATAGAATTTATGAGATCTATCCTTTATGAGCTAAACAATAAAATAAAACTCATTATTTCTTTGCCTATTTCATTCGCTATGAAATATGATTCATATTTTCCTAAAAATCTATTATGTGAACAAAACACATCAAGTGATGTGTTTTACCAAACTCCCAATTAACTTTTCAACTTAATAAGTTAATAACACTTTAATTTTTGAAGATAGTTATATTTTCACTTTAATTCTTGAAATATAAATTTGACTTAATTTAGTCCATTGACTTTTCAAGTTGACCAAATTTAGTTTATATACTCCGTACTTGACATTTTGGACATTTCATCCTTCTACAATTGGGACATTTTAGACATTAATTTGGGCAATTTAAAAGGAAAAAAAATCATTAAATTTAAAATTAAAATATCAACATCGTCAATGTACAAAAAGTGGTGTTGAGACATATTCCACATAAAAAAAAAAATAATAATAATAATAATAAAAGAGGATAGAATCATGAAATGGCAAAATAATATTTTCTAGGTGAAATAATTTCTTAGTAGAATATTTGATCAGTCCATGCATATAGTCGGTGCCACTAAATTGTAGGACACACATATAGTATCAGCTTTTAGCTTGCTAGATTGTCTCTTCTCAAGTAGTGCAGAACCATCACCTTTCAGTATTCTATTGCCAATTCCATTTGCAGTAGTAAAAAATGTTAAGTAATACTCCCTTCGTCCCAATTTGATTGTCACATTTATTTTTTATACGCTTTTTAAAGAATTAAAATAAATATTATGTATTTTTCAATTATACCCTTTATTTTCTCACTTTTGAAAATAAAAAATAATTAAAAAAAAAAGCAATTAAAACTCATAAGGATAAATTGAAAAAAAGTATAATGATAGTAATGTTCAATTTTATTTTATTTTTTTTTTAAAACAATATTTTAAGACAAACTAAAAAGAAAAGTAAAATAGGTAATATGGGACAAAGGACGAGTAACTCATATTACTACTATTTTTTAATTTTTACATTTAATACTTTCAAAAGCCAGCTCAGTTCATTTTGCCAGCCAGGTTTTTAATTTACCCATTTCTTGTGGATGGCACAAATATGTTTTTTTTTTTTTCTTTTTCTTTTCCCTGGTCCCAAGGAAGAAATTATAACATTCACAGTGCAATTCATGGGTCTAGACCAAATTAGAAAGCTCAAAATTGTTATTCATATGAAATGATACTTTATATATATATATAAATCACTATTTTACCTTTGAGACCGATGATTTTCGTGCCACACCACAACAATGGGATATAAGGGTGAGGAAACCCTTGTTGGAGAAGGAGAACACGTGCAAAGTTCAATTCGTGTACGTGCGTAACATGAAGTTTTCAAGAACTTGCACGTGCCCTGCTTCTCCAACGAGAGCTACCCACCCACCCATTCTTGAATCATATGTATATATATGTATTCTTGGGGATGAAGATTGAAGATGAGAAGAAAAGGAATAGATTTAGAATAGATAGAGGTTGAGACATGGATTTGGGTGTGATGTATGTATTTATAGATGGGGTTGAAAGGGAGGAAGGGACAGGAAGAGTTAAGGCTTGGAGTCTAGGAGTGGGCAAGATTTAATGAGAGGCCATGCAAGTAAAGCAATCAAGTAGCAATGTATGTATGTATAATAGTGTAGTAAAAATTGGATTCCTTCAATTAATTCATATATAGATTTTTTATTTTTCAAGGCCAAATTGATAGTGTGAAGGAAAAAAGGTAAGTGTTGCCATCACTGCTCTGTGTAAAGCCCCCTTTAATAACAACTCCACAATTTCCCATCACCCATCATCACTACAACCAACAAAGAAAAGAAAGATTTGATTGCTAGCTTAGCTTAGCTTGGTGAAAAAACAAAGAATCGGAAATAACTTTGAAATTCAATTCAATCCTTTCCTTTTGATTGTGATGTTTCTCACCATTCACACTCTACCCAATTGTACATACATTATGATAAATGCTACAATACACTAAAACTTTTAATATCTTGTTTGGTTGGAAGGTAGAAATTAGGGGTGAAAGAAATTGTAATTCGGTGAGAAAAGAATAAGGTGTGAATAAAGTAAGAATTCAAATTACGTTATTTGGTGGGGAGAAATAGAGGGGTCGTTTACTTCGTTTCTCTGTTTCTCCATTTCTAGTTTTCTATTTCTCCATTTCTCCAATTTTCCTTCTCCATTCTTCCAGTTTTCCATTTCTCCAATTTTCCAATTTTCATTCCCATTCTTCTAGTTCTTCATTTCTCTAATTTTCTGCTTTTATTAAATACAAGCATCCCATATAGCATTTTTACATTTCTACAACAACAACAACAACAACAACAACAACAACAACAATAACAACAATAATAATAAAGATAAAAAATTAAAAATAATAAAGATAATAATAATAATAAAAGATGTTTAAAAATAATAATAATAATAATAATAATAAATATGTTTTCAAATAATAATATAATAATAATAATAATAAAGATGTTTTCAAATAATAATAATATAATAATAATAATAAAGATAAAAAAAATTAAAAATAATAAAGATAATAATAAAGATAATACTAATAATAAAGATGTTTTCAAATAATAATAATAATAAGAACAGAATAATAATAATAATAATAATAATAATAATAATAATAATAATAATAATAATAATAATAATAATAATAAGATCAGAATAATAATAATAATTTTATTATTAATAATAATATTAATATTCACGCAAACTCCGCAAAGCAAAATTGAAGCAGCAAATTAAAATTGAATTAAAAGCAAAACTGAAGCAGGCAAACAAAAATTTGAATCAAACGTGCAGAGTTGGTTTCGAACCTGCGACCTCTTGCTAGGAGTACTGTTCACCCGTAATTCCTCCATCCCTCCATTTGGAGAAGTCCAAATTTCCTTTCTCCAAAAATGTACATGAAGTGGAAAAATGGAGAAAGAGGAAGCATTTGGAATAAGGATTTTAGTAAACAACTTTTCCATTCTCCATTTTTCTACTCCTCCAATTCTCCATTTTTCTGGAAAATCCTCCATTTTTCCAAGTTGGTAAACGACCCCAGAATTTTTGAGTTGAGAAGGAAAGAGGCGATATAAAGACTAAAATATCCTTATGTAATAATAATAGTAATAACAACTAAGGGTAGTAGTGTCATTTCATTCGTTTTTTCTTTCTCAAATTCATTGAATTGCAATTCATGAGGTACCCCATGAATTGCAATTCAATGAAAGGAG